CTGGGGTTCAGGTGGAATGTGTTTAGTTATTTGAATTCAAGCCTATTAAATATCATAATTTGAGTCACAGGGGGGATAGTGACCTCCTACTTGGCTTATGAAGTGTCTTGTAGCTTCAGGAAACAGGTAATTTGGTGTAACTTAGAGAAAAAAAACCTGGAATCAGATTCTGTCTCTCACACTTCTGTCTAAGTGATCTTGGGCAAGCCTCTTGACCTTGTTACTTACCAATTGCAAGTGTAAAATAAAGCATTGGGATCACATTCTCTAAGGGTGGTGGTCATATGGTTCGTTGCTTAAGAACCTGAGTTTGTAGTCAGGTAGATCTGGATTTGAGTCTTGTCTCTTCCACATCATACCTGTGAAATCACAGGAACTGTATTTCCAGGCTTATTTCATTATTTAAAATATAACTTAAAATTTAAAATACTAGTAACCACCTTATACTGTTGTTGTTGTTGTTGTTGTTATGTGCCGTCGAGTCGGCCCCGACTCATAGCGACCCCTCCTTGGGTTTCCGAGGCAGTATCACTACGGAAGTAGGATTGCCCAACCTTCCTTCCGAGGAGTGGCTGGTGGGTTTGAACCACCAGCCTTCTGGTTAGCAGTCAAGTGCTTTAGCCACTATGCTACCAGAGCTCCTATACTATTGTTAAGAGGATTAAAAGAGATAATACATGTGTTTGATAAAGAGTGATTCATATTAGCTGAGATTTCTTACCCAGAAAAAAACTATATATATATAATTTGATGTCTTTAGTAAGACTCAAATCATAGAATATTAGAATGGACTCAGATTATCTAATCTAAGTTCATTATTTTATAGATGAAAGAAAACCAAACTAAACTCAAATCCTGATGAAGAATAAGTGTCTTGCTGCAAATCCTACACCTGGATTTGATTTCAAAACAATAACTGCATGTGTGGTAAATTTGATAAACAGTACTGTTCACTCTAAGAAACTCTAAATATTTTATTTCATTTGCAAGTCAGTGGTCTCACCAGACATGTTTTCCTTGTGGGAGAGAAGAGATCTTTATGATCACAGTAGTGTCCTTCCTATGTAAATAGCATTTTTTTTTTTTAGTAAATGAAGAAAATAGAGTTCAACCTTCTGTAGAAGAGTTAAGACAGTCAACAAGTCAAAGAATTTGTCTCATGACACTCAATCTATGCCTTTCAGTAAGTGAAAAAAAAAAATCCCTAGACCACTCATAAAAAGTTGTGGTGAAATTTTTACATTGAATACTTAAATTTTGTATTCTAATTCTGATCCTCATCATAGACAGTAACCACAGTTCATTTAAGAATTATTTTTACTGTATTTTCACAGAAATATTTTGTCCCTAAGTTCCATTTTAAACATTTCACTTCATCTGGCTGAAACTAACTAGGGTTCCCAATGGGAGAAAAGTTAAAATGTGAAAATTAAACCATAAAACAAATATGTTTTATGACCTGCACTTCATAAAGTTACCTTGCTGTGTGCTCTGGCTAAATGGTGCCTTTAGACATAATGAATCTTACTATCTGATAGACTGTTGGAAGAGGTTATTGCACTTCCCAGCTATTTGAAACCCTAAAGTGGTCACAGTAAATGACAGAATGCCTTTCAGTATTGTTATAATCTGCATGGTAAACACGTCTTGCCATTTCACAGTTCTGTGCCTGGTGTCTTTTAAAGACATCCTCTTATTTTCTTCCCCTTAGTCTCCAACCTTCCACAGTAGAAAAGAACCCTATACAAAGTCATAAAGTACAAATTCTGTTGTGGATTTATCCTGCAAAGTGGGCTGAGATTGGAGCTGTAATGTTTACCCATATTCTCCAATCTCCATCTAAATAAATAAAGTGGGTATCATAGGATAGGCTGCTACACAAATAACGAGTTTTAAACTCATTCACACTGAGAAGTTTCAACTGATATAGTTTGCCTATCAAATGGATTTAAAATTGTATTGTCACTGCACTGCTTTCCACGGTGATTGCTTCTGCACTGTGGTTCCATGCCTCAACAGACAGTTTGATTGTACATATCTGCTGCTTTGTTCATATGATTCTGTTTGTAATGGTCTGTAATGTGCAACCTTGCTATCTAGTAATAAAGCTGAACAGAACCCCTTCAGTGATTTGAACTAAGACGTTTAACCGTTTCTAGCACTATTTGAGAGTAAATGAGGAGAGTCTTTTTGCTGATGACTCCTTCTTTCTCTTCCCTCCCTCCTTCCTTCCATCCTTCCCTTCTTTTTTTTCTTTCCTCCCTCCCTCCTTACCATCTCTCCTTCCCTCTTTTTCTTTCATTGATGTATTTTTTTTTTTTTATTTCACAATTTGGGTTTTATGAATATTTCTGTTGAAATTTTCTGGGTCCACAGTCTTTTTTCTTTTTTGTGAAGAAAGGATAAGTTGTCAGCACATCTTGTCCTTGTTAATGGTTTCAGTGGCCCATCATTTATTATTTGGGTGCTGGAGTACTGTGCACCCTGAATAGACAGTAGAGTAGATGAGGCAGACTTTAGCTTAGCAATCTGTCCCCTACTGTCCAGGGATAGTGTTGGATCTTTGATGGAATCAACAACTGTCATTTGCTTCATACTTCACTGGTTCTAGGAGGGAGGCCAGGATTATATCCTCCTGGAAGGAGAATCAGCTGTATTTCCTTCAAATGGCTATATTTCTTTCTCAGGCTCAATTATCTATAAAAAGAGCTTTTGTAGCAAAGAGACTTCACCACAGAGAAGTGATGTTAAGTCAAATGAAATATAAAGAAAACCATATTCCAAACTGTCTCTGATAAGTAATTTAATATTAACTGAATTCCGTAGTTACAGGATATATAAAAAAAGAAATAAAAAATAACTCTACTGGTTTCTCAAGGGAAAGATTGCTAAGCTGCCTTGCCTTTCCATAAAATCACATCATAAGAACCCTCTCTGACTAAAATCCTTAAAACTTCAATATCAGCATTATAGTTCTATTAAATCTGACACTGACTCAAATTGACTAGGTAGAGAAGAACATCACTGAGTTTCAAACTGACCTTGACATGTGGAAGAAATGGGCAACTCTAAACAGGTTGATGTGGTTCAATCTAAAGACAAGGTAAGGAAGAAAGACTATGTGTACAATTACCAGAGAGGAAGAACCACTGGTGCGCAAATAGAGAAAAAACACATTGGAAGACACGTGAATCACTTCTTCCCAGATTCTCCTGAAGTGTCATCTCCTCAGAGCATTCTTCTCTGACCACCCAATTTCATCACTCTCCTTCCCCTTATCCAGCTTTAGTTTTTTATAAACACATAAAAGGAATCTCTGGCTTATGCAAATGGTGAAACACTGGACTACTAGCTAAAAGTTTGAAATCAACCAGAGGCCTCTCGAAAGACAAACATGGTGATCTGCTTGAAAACCTTACAGAGCACAGTTCTACTCTGCACACATGGGATTGTCACAAGTTGGAATCAACTTGATGGCACCTAACAACAATGGCAACAATGTACATATAAAATAAATACTTATATTATGAAATATATAGTATATGAAAGGTGTATCATAAATACATGTACTTAATATGTGTTTATTATTTGAATTCCTCACTAGAACACAAGCTCAGTGAAGACAATAACTTTGGTTAACTGCTATAGTCTGAGCACCTAGAATATAATCTGGCACTAAATAAATATATGCTGAATGAATAAATAAAAAATGGAAGTTGGTTATGTTATGTTGTGGTGGGAAGGTTTAATTAGGAGCATTGATTGCTATTAATGCTTATAATAACTCAACATTTTTTAGGCCTTAAATAGGACCCATGCTCTCTGTTTGGTACAAAATAGTGCAATATTAGAAATTAGGCACAGATCTTGAAAAGATAGATGAAAAACACATACCGTTCAGCCTTTGCAAGATTTTCATGTGGAATATATCATCTTTAGAGAAGGAAACATAGCATGAGTAGGAGATTAATATGCATATTTAATATAGGTAGAAATGTTTGATACTTGTTTTGAAGTTAGGTACTGTCGAGCTGGTTGCTGCTCATAGCGACACTATGAACAACAAAACAAAACACTGCCCAGTCATGCACCATCCTCACAATCGTTGCCATTCTTGAGCGCATTGTTATAGCCACTGTGTCAATTCATCTCCTTATATTCCTCCATTTCACTGATCATCTACTTCACCAAGCATGATATCTTTCTCCAGTGACTGGTCTTTCCTAACAACAAAAGTATGAAGCGCGAAGTCTAAAGTGTGAGACACAAAGTCTCATCATATTTTCTTTTAAGGAGCATTTTGACTGTATTTCTTCCAAGACAAATTTGTTTGTTTTCTGTCAGTCCATGGTATATTCAGTATTCTTCACCAACACCATAATTCAAAGGCATCAATTCTTCTTCAGTCTTCTTTGTTCATTGTCCAGCTTTTGCATGCAATTTGATAGTTAGTGAATAACAATGGCTAACATTTCTATAGTTCTAAATGTACTTTACGTTTATTGTCTCTCTTAATCCTCACAACAATTCTTGTGGTAGGTTTAGCCCCTCTTTATAGATGAGGCAACTGAGGCATGGAGAGGTCAAGTAATTTGTCCAAAGTCTCACAGTTTATGAGTGAAAGGATCAGGAATTAAATCCAGACTAGATGGCTGCAGAAATTTGCTCTTAATCATTATGCTGTTCTCTCTCTTAATCAAAGAATCTTTTTCAGGTTTCAAGAAACATAAGATAAGATTGAATCAATTAGAATTTATTACCAAGTGCTGTTCCAAGTGTTATAAATTATTAAACTAACAAGATGCAGTCCATGTCCAGTGAAGGTTTACACTGAGCTCGTATTATACAAGTAGGATTGGTGTTTACTATCAGAAATAATTCACTATCGGTTTTCGGGAGGAGGAGGAGGGCGAAAAGCGAACCAGTGGATCTGTAAAGAAATCAGCAGACTAGGAGAGAGGGGAAGAAGCTAAGCTGTGACGTGTGTGCACCCAAGAACCATGTCTGTGTGGGAGTCCTTTAACCCAGAAAGTTATGAATTGGATAAAGGCTTCCAGCTAACCAGATTCACTGAACTGAAGGGCACAGGCTGCAAAGTGCCCCAAGATGTCTTACAGAAATTGCTGGAATCCTTACAAGAGAACCATTTCCAAGAAGATGAGCAGTTTCTGGGAGCAGTTATGCCAAGACTAGGCATTGGAATGGATACTTGTGTCATTCCTTTGAGGCATGGTGGTCTTTCCTTGGTTCAGACCACAGATTACATTTACCCTATTGTGGACGACTCTTACATGATGGGCAGGATAGCATGTGCCAATGTCCTCAGTGACCTCTACACAATGGGAGTCACAGAATGTGATAATATGTTGATGCTCCTTGGAATTAGCAATAAAATGACTGACAGGGAAAGGGATAAAGTGATGCCCCTAATTATACAGGGTTTTAAAGATGCAGCAGAAGAAGGAGGGATGTCTGTAACAGGTGGCCATACAGTATTAAACCCCTGGATTGTTCTGGGAGGAGTTACTACAACTGTCTGCCAGCCTAATGAATTTATCATGCCAGATAATGCAGTGCCGGGAGATGTGCTTGTCCTGACAAAACCCTTGGGTATGCAAGTAGCTGTAGCTGTGCACCAGTGGTTGGATATTCCTGAAAAATGGAATAAAATTAAACTAGTGGTTACCCAGGAGGACGTAGAGTTGGCATACCAAGAAGCAATTATGAATATGGCAAGGCTCAACAGAACAGCTGCAGGACGTATGCACACGTTCAACGCCCATGCGGCCACGGACATCACAGGCTTTGGAATTTTGGGCCATGCACAGAACCTGGCCAAGCAACAAAGGAACGAAGTGTCGTTTGTAATTCACAACCTCCCTGTGCTGGCCAAGATGGCAGCTGTGAGCAAGGCCTGTGGAAACATGTTTGGCCTCATGCATGGGACCTGCCCGGAGACATCAGGAGGCCTTCTAATCTGTTTACCACGTGAGCAAGCCGCTTGGTTCTGTGCAGAGATAAAGTCCCCCAAATATGGTGAAGGCCACCAAGCATGGATTATTGGGATTGTAGAGAAGGGCAACCGTACTGCCAGAATCATAGACAAGCCCCGGATCATTGAAGTCGCGCCACAAGTGGCCACTCAAAACGTGAACCCCACGCCTGGTGCCACCTCTTAATGCAGACAGAAATCGCTATTTGGTTTTGTGTTTAAATAGATCTATTCCTTTATCATCACTTCAATTAAAGACTGTAAACAACAAAAATCTCATTGTGTCTACACATTTGGTGACCTCAGGTCGGTTTGTGAGTGGATGCAATTAATAAAATAAAATCCATTGCCTTTTTTTTCCTGTTACATTAACTGAAGATGCACCTAGTCTTGAGGCAGCTTCTGAGTTGAGAATTATATTGTTATCCAATACTGTTGATTCATTTTGAATCTTTAGACACTTATCTCTTGCCGCATAGGCTCTTTTAAAGGTGCTTTCACATAGCACAGACATTACCAATAGTAGTGTCAACTAGCAGTTTGTGTCTTTTCATTTTGTGTATATTTATCATTAAAAGAAGTCTGACCTTTTTTTGTTTTTTTTAAATGTCTTGAGTGGTATTCTGGAAAGACAAAATTGGTAAGTGACACAATGGTATCCCAGTGGTGAGAGGGTTGCATGATTCCTTTGAGTCTTTAATTTGTAAAGCCTAGACTTAATCATTCAAGAGCATCTCTTTGACCCATGACTTTACCCAGTAGTGCATTCAGTAAAACAAGGCAAGTGCTTAACTCTGCATGGAAAGCACTTTGAAGACAAAAAAGAAATTTTATTTCTTTTTTTTGTAGCCTTCCTGATACTTTCAGTAATATCAATAACTGTTTTCTTTATTGATATCAAAAAAGGATACTTTTTGCAATGTAATTAGATGTTCTATAGTGCAACAAGGAATTGCCTCCCCAGAGGGGGTTCATGTATAATACTCATTTACAATTCAATATATAATTAACTACGCAAATAATTTTTAAATATAATCAGTAATAAAGACTGTTCTGTGGATGGTAGTGTTTAATACATTTTATATTTTGTATAGTGATTTCAGGCATTTTGTCTTAAAATCAGCAGCTGTTTAGCCTAATTCTTAGCATTTTTTTGTCCTTTGCGCCAGTACTTTTTTGTGCATGCTTTTTGTGATCTGTGTTAAAAATCTGCATTGCCAACATTGCAGCTCAGACTTAAACTTGTTATTCAAATAAATATTTAATTTTTTTTTATTGCTCTTGTAAAAAAAAAAAAAGAAATAACTCACTATCATGAAGAGCAGTGATGCACTGGAAACTATGACCTATATCAAGTCTGCCTACCCATAGCACCTTCTGCTTGATATCATCAAGATAGACCTCAGAGAACAGATTCATAATGACCTTTTTAGGTTTAGGCTCTGCAATTTAGTTGAACTGCTCTGACTTGTCACCCAATCCAGAATTACAATGAGACTTTGTATATTTCCATGGTTTAGGGAATAATTTTTGTGATTCCTTTAGAATAAATTTGCCTCTTCAAACTCTTGGGGAATTTAAGACCCTAAGTGCTTGATTACATGTAAGTGTCTCTCTTGTATCACCTCTTAGCCCTACCTTGAGTGTAAAGGGAAATACATAAGTACTTTGTTGAATTGAACATAGGGTTTCTCTTGGAGGTCACTAAAGCATCCAGGTAAACTGGATTGAATCCAGTCTCAGCTGGGTTGAATCCTGGTTCTATCATTTGGGATATATGACCTTAAGCATGTTACTTACCTCTTTAACTCTATTCCTTCATCTATAAAATAGGCATAACAGGACATAGGAGTCTCTGGGTAGTGAAACATCTAACATGCTCACCTACTAACCTAAAAGTTGGTGCTTTGAGGTCCAGCCAGAGGAGCCTCTGAAGAAAGGCTAGTGATTTATTTCTGAAAAATCAGCCACTGAAAACATTATGGAGCTCAGTTCTACTCTGATACATATGGGGTCAAAGTGAATCGAGAGCAGCTTGACTATAGCTGTTGAAAACAATAACAGTACATAACCCACAGGTAAGCTGTGAAGTTTTAATGAGATGCTCCAATGAAACACAATGCCAGAATATAGTAAAAGTTCACTATGAACTAACCAACATGAACTGCATGCCACTCCTACACAAAACCAATATTGAGTGTTCCAGGCTCTTTTTTAAACTGAGCAGAGGCTGTGGAGGCATTGTGTGCTCATGATGATCCTGTACCCAAAGAGGGAGTTTATTGTCTCATTCGATGAGGTGCCCCAAACCATGGAAATGAACAATCTTTTCTCCAGGCCAGACTAGGAGTGAGTATCTGGAAGAACTTAAACTGAGGAAAATAAGTACAAAGACCTAATAACCCCTCAACCCCTCTTCAGCTTTGGGATATCAGGGCCACAGCATCCCAGATGTCTTGGTTCACTATACCCCCTGGTTTGCTGTGAGAATTGATGTTTATTTGGTCCAGGTTACAAAGAGAGTAGGGCTGCTGAAACAAACCATGCCTTGTTTTTTCTGATCTACGTACAATCGTTCTTGAGACTTTAGGTCTCTCACTGTCTAGGAAGACCTGTTATAGAATGCATGTCTTACAGTTTGTTTATTGCTGTGGGTAAACTCTGGGTCTCTGGGTGGCACAAATGGTTAAGTGCTTGACCATTGAGGTGAGAGGTTGGTAGTTTGAACACACTCAGAGGCACCTCAAAAGACAGGTTCCTTCTGAAAGGTCATAGACTTGAAAATCCTACGGGGCAGTTCTACCCTGCACACATGGGGTTGCCATGAGTTGGAATCAACTTGACAGCGACTGACGATAATACACTCCAGGTAAACCCAGGATTTAAGGATTATACCAATTCACACTAAATTAAGATTATATCAACTCAAAAGTCACTTCTCCCTGTTCCATGCTTTACCCTTACAAAATTTTATAAGGCTGCCCACTGTGCTCAGTTGAAGCCTTGATTAGGACACAAAGAAGTCAAATTAACTCATCGCTTTAGAATCTCTAAATGCAGATTGCCAAAGCCAGTTAATTCAAATTAGCCTTAGACAAGGTTAGAATCTTGAAATATTCTGTCTTCTTGTCCTGATAGTAACCTTCAGGACTGTCTATTGCAAATCATGGAATGTTCTCATTCATCTCTCAAGATTGCAGTTCTTAACTCTCTCTTAACCTCTTACTTTTTAACTTAGGATATATCTATTTTTAAGGAGAAATGGTGAATTTTAGTTTATTCATTTGGAGGAGGATGGTGTCAAATGATGTTGGAATTATTTCTCTTTTGTCCTCGACTAGATTTCAAGTTAGATGCCCAAGGACTTAACCCTCATTGTGTCATTTGAGGCCTTCGTCTCTTACAATCATTAAAAGTGACAGATGCTTAAATTGTTATTACTGGAAAATTGTCAATGCCTTTGAATCAGGCAAATTCCCTGTTAATGGGCACATACGACTTGGGAAGCAGGGTAGATGCCTTTGAATCAGGCAAATTCCCTGCTAATGGGCACATACGACTTGGGAAGCAGGGTAGACTAAATAATAACCCTCCAAAACTACATCTTTATGCCAAGAAACTGAGTATGTTCTCTTACATGGCAAAAGGAATTTTGCAGATGAAATTAGGTTAAAGATCTTGAGATAAGGAGATTATCCTGAAATATCTAGGTGGGCCCTAAATATATGATGCATCCAAGAAGCAGAGGAAGAAAAGGTGATAAAATGTGGGGCCACAGGCTAAGGAATGAGGTTAGCCTGCTAGAAATGGCAGGAAATTGATTCTTGCCTAGAGCCTCCAGAAGAAAAATGTACCTTGCCAGCACTTTGATTTGAGAATTTTTGACCTTCAGAACTGAAAGATGATAAATTTGTGTTGTTTTAAGCCATGTTTGTGGTCATTTGCTATAGCAGCCATAGGACCCTAATCGAGGAGGTTTAGCACACCACCCTCATCACATGCTAATGCCTGGACATGAAATTAGATTTTAAAGTTTTGTCCTGTAGTTGTGTATGTATATGCACATGTGTGTTTGTTTGTGTGCACACATGTGTTTATGTGCATTTGTGTATGGTGAAGGCAATATGTTTGCAGAAGTAGGAAGGAGAGAAATTCTTCAGTTATTCAACACTGGCCTGGATGGGCAAATTATAAATATAGTTCAATAAACAAATATTTTTTGGTGTCTACTAGATGCCATCACCACTCATTTGTCAGTTTGTCATATGGTGGGGGCTTGCGTGTTGCTGTGATACTGGAAGCTATGCAGCGTCACCCATGGCAGATAGTTTTCAGTAGAGCTTCTAGACTAAGACAGACTGGGAAGAAAGATGGGGCCATTGCCTTCTGAAAATATTGGCCACTGAAAACCTTATGAATAGAAGTGATACATTGTCTGAAATAGTGTTGGAAGATGAACATATCAGGTTGGAAGTCACTCAAAATATAACTAGGGAAGAGTTGCCTCCTCAAAGCAGAATTGACCTTATGATGTGAATGGAGAAAAACTTTCCTGTCTTTCATTTGCTAATGTGGCATAACTCAAAATGCAAAGAAACAGCTGCAAGCACCCATTAATAATTGGAACGTAGAATGCAGAAATTATGAATCTAAGAAAATTGGAAGTTGTCAAAAATGAAATGGAATGCATAAAGATCAAGGTCTTAGGCATTAGTGAGCTGAAATGGACTGATATTTGCCATTTTGAATCAGACAATCATATGGTTCACTATGTGGTAAATGACAAATTGAAGAGGAATAATGTTACATTCATCATCAAAAAGAACAATTTCAAGATCTATTCTGAAGTACAGTGCTATCATTGTAGGATAATATCTATGTACCTACAAGAAAAAACAGTTAATGCTATTACTCAAATCTACACACCAACTACTAAAGCCAAAGATGAAGAAATTGAAGATTTTTACCAACTTCTGCAGCCTGAAATTGGCCAAACATACAATCAAGATGTAGCAATGCTTACTGGTGATTCAAACACAAAGGTTGAAAACAAAGAAGCAGCATCATTGTTGGAAAATATGGCCTTGGTGATAGAAATGATGCTGGAGACCCATTATAGAATTTTGCAAGACCAACTTATTCATTGCAAATACCTTCTTTTCCAACATAAATGGTGACTATACACAT